AAGTCGGGTTTCCCAAAGTTTTGAAAGCAGCCAGAAGAAAAAGACACACCGAAGTAGCAACAATGACTGAAGGCTACTTTTCCAACAGTAACTATGGAAACCAGCAAACAAGAGAAAGGCATCTTTAAAGTGCAGGGAGGAAAAAAAAAAAGTCATCTTGAATTATTGAAACTACTGAATAAAAATGTTCTTAAAAACTGAAGGCAAATAAAGATATTTCCAGGTAAATAATACTTGAAAGAATTTATTGCCAGTATAACTGAACTTCAAGAAATACCAAAGGACAATTTTCAGATTCATCCCAGATGAAAGCAAGGAAATACATGAACAAATAAGTAGCATAAGAAAGGAGAAATATTTGGGTAAATATAAAAAATTTTTGGTGGTGTAAAATGGTAATAATGCCAATCTCTTGTAAATGTTAGAACACATTCAGGAGGGAAATATATAAAATAGTAGCACGACATGAGGTAAAAGGATAAATGAAACTGTTACAAGGTCCTCACATGTTTGTGAGGTTGTAAATGTACTAATATGTACATTTGCCTTATTGTATTAAAACAAGAAGACATATGGCAATCTCTAGGAGAACTGTTAATGAAGGATACAGAAAGGAACAGCTAAATGGAAAACAAGTCAGATTAGATAAAATTTAAAAAATACTTTGTGAATTCTAAAGGAAAGGAGAAATAATAAGAACAAATGAGATAACTGGAAAACAGGTGGCAAGACAAGAGGCTTTGAACCAGCTCTATCAGTAATTCATCAAATGCCAGTGGACTAACCAGTATACAGATTGGATTTCAAAAAAGATCCAAAGAGATGCAGTTTATGACAGAGACATTTTATGTAACAAGACAAAGAATGTAAAAAGGTAAAACACCATTAAAAAACCATTAAAAGTCAAAGAATGTAAAAAGGTAAAACACGCCATTCTAAGCAGTTGGTGTGCCTATCTAATATCAGAGAGAGCAAGCATTGAGCGAAGAAGTATAACGACAGATAAAGAGGGGAATTTCATGGTGACAAAGCATCAGTAGGTTCAACAGGCACCAAGTTCTGTGTGCCCATAGATAACCTCAACTTAGGAAAAGAAAAAATGGACAGAACTAAGACATACAGACAAATTGATTATCATGATTGGAGATATTAACAACTGTCTCGGCAATAGAGAGAGAAGACACACAAAAGATTAGTAAGGATACGGATGATCTGAGCGATACCATTAACCAACTTCACCTAATTGACATTTATAGAGTAATAGAACCAAAACCTGCAGCATGCACATATGTTTCAAATGCATTTGGAACATTCATCAGCATACACCATATTCTGGCCCTTATGCAAGTTACTACAAATTTCAAAACATTGAAATACTATAGCGTATAATATTGGACCCAAATGGAACTGACCTGGACATTGATAACAGAAAAGTGACTGAAAAATCCTCCAAATATTTGGACATTTTGAGAAACACAAATAATCCATAAATGAAAGAAGAAATCACAAGAGAAATTCTTTAAAATGTTTTGAACTGAATAGTAATGAAAATATGTCATACTAATACTTGTGGGAAATGGTTAGGTGGTGATTAAAATAAAAGGAAATTCAGAGCTTAAAATGCACATACTTGCAAGAAAGGATAATTGAAATTAATTCTCTAACTCTCCATGTTGACAAATGGAAAATGAGGCACAAATTAAGCCCAAAATGTTACTGGCAAAGTATCCAAACTACATTGGGCCATGTATGTCATAGAAACAACTGGGACTGGCTGTGGTCAAAAGGTGTGGGCTTTGGGAACAATCAACAGACGCTTGAATCCCACGTCTGCCACTATCCAGTGCTTTAACCTTAGAAAAGTTACTTAACATTTCTGAGCTTCAGTCATTTAATTCATAAAATGGGAATAATACTCATGAGAGTTTAATTCAGTAACATTTCAATCACCTCACAAAACCTGGCTTAGTACATGTGAATTTCCTCTTTTCCTTCCTTTTCTTTTTGCAAGATATTTATTAATTGGACATATTGATTCATCAAGACCTATCTAGACAATTCTTACAGTCAATTCAGTCCATTGATTCAAAGTAAAACCATGAATCAAATATTAAACCACACAACAAATTTTAATAATTTATTCAGAGTATTCTCACTGAGTTTCCAAATTTAAAAATGACCACAAACAGGGAGACTAGAACCCTAATCTACAAATTACAGGCAGTTCCATAATTTTTGGACCACACTTCATTTTGATCTGTCTACAAATAGCAACTTTCAAACAATGACAGGCTTGCTCTGCTTTTGTAATGTTTTTCACTAAATATTGAGTATGTTATACATACAGTATTGATCAACAATGAATCATATTTAGGTTTGAAAGGGTCCATTATGCACACATTCATAAATGCAGAATATATGTATGTCAAAACATACCTAATTCCACTCTAATGTGGTTAAGCTGTGGTCCAAGAAGAACTGGAATTATATAACTGTGATCTAAAAGTGAAAATAAAAGAAAAGAAAAATGTGTTAGAGCTTCTCTAAGACAACTTTTTTGTAATATGCTTATTCTATGTAACAAAGATTCTATTAGTCATCTCTCCACATTCACTTTAGTTGTATTTTCAGTAAATAATGGTTGCAGCTAATATTGTTTATTGTTCACTTTCCATCAACTTTAAAGCTCACATAGCTGGGGAAAGCACACTGAATTTGATTTTCCCTCAATTCATATCTGTAGTTTCGCTCACTGAAACTAAAAGCCAGAGGAAGACGCTCATCCAGGGAGACAACCACACTTGCAGGACTTAGAAGATGCAAGGTCCCTGGTAGGTGCCTTCCTGCTCTTCCTTTATTCCTTCTCTCTGCCCTCCTCAATTCTTCAGAGTGCAAGGTCGAAGACTCAGGTTGGGCAGGCAAGCACTTAGTCTCAGGTGCCCACCCTCCCAATGCAGGACACTGAGAAAAGTATGCCCTGGATGCCTCACTTGCCTCGCTTGCCTCACCCTCGTTCTGGCCCTGCTGGGGTGTCCACACTTGCAGGCTCAGTTCCACTTCTGTTCCTCAGTGACTTCTGACCCCCAACTGGAGCCGTATAAATATTATCCACCTCTGCCCCCATCTGGTAATGCTTAGGAAGTAAATAACCCCCCAGCAGCCTTCCACTGAATGCTATGATTCAACCTCAGGAGGCTAATAACTGCAGAACACTGATAGGAACAGTTGCCACACAGTCAAGTTTTTGTTGCTCCTATTATCCGCACTGGCAACTTTCTTCATGACCTGGACCCTCCCTGCTAGTCCATCCGGTGTTTTGGGGCATTTACAAGTAATGTCCAGAGCAGCCCTCGTGGGGCTTCCCGGCACTCAGCAAACAGAAAGCCTGAGCACGAGGACCAAGGGGGACTCAGGAGCTTTCCCGCAGCACCCACACCAAAGCTCTCTCAGAAGGCGAGGTGCTGCAGCATGAAGAGCAGAGAAGGGAGTGGAGGATTGTGTGGGCAAGAACTGGAGAATGAAACTAGGACAGTGAAACCCCAGATTGAGTCAGGCTGAGTTCCTCTGAGATTCAGACTCTCTGAGCAAACCTGGAATTCACGTGGGCAGATACGAGGATTTGGAATGGCTCCAGGGTAAGAACTGACTCTCAGGTCTGAGAATGTGAAAGAATATAAGTGGATTCAAGCACAAAGGAGCAGGAGCTGGTTTTGTGTAGTGAGGATAATTACTACTGATTATCTTCTTCTGGAACCATCTACTATCATTGAGAACCCAGAGCAGTAAAACTGGTGTAAAGTGAACGGTATAGCGCTATTTAAGGTAACAGAAGGAAGAAAACTGCTCACTGTATGCCCCTGGAATGCCTAGACTCCTAGAAAGCTAATATCAGAATCGAAACAGCACAGAGATTGTCAGCAGTGGGAGGGGCGATCACCAGACTGGCCAGAGCACAAGATGAAGAAAATACAATGCCAGGTGGGAATCAAGAGGATTGTGACTTAAGGTTATGTGCTTACCACGTGGTAGCTGAGAGATCTACATCTGTGACCACAGGGGAAGTGTAATAAAGACACAGCACTGTCTTTAGCATAGGCCATGACACCTCCTGACTGTCATCTTCAACTCTAAGCTCTATGTTCTAGAAGAATGATGGCAAACTTCACCAAATCCAAAGGAAAATGGCCAGGGTGGCCATTTGCTGCTAAAGCAAATGAGCCCTAGTAACTGTGAGCCCACGATGTTGTTGGATGAGTCATCGCAGGGGTTTTAGTTTCCCGGATGACAGAAAAGAACGCAGAGGGTAGATTAGCCATTATCTTCAAACACTCGATGCAGCCGTTGTTTTAAAAAGGGACCAGACTTACAATCTGCAGAGCTACTGAAGGCAAACAGAAACCGATGAGGGAACTACACAAAGGCATCTTGGACTCAATGGGAAAAATGACTCTTAACAGTCAAATATTATTGGTAATTTCCATGGTAGTTCCCAAGAAGGGACCATATGAACTGTTACTGGCTGCGCCATATGGTTAGCCTCACTGGGTGAGGTTTGATCAAATTACCCCTAATGTCTCCATCACTCTAAAATTCAGGCTCCAGTTTTTCATTATATATAGTCTGGGCTCATGATAAAACAGACTAATAATCATCACCCCTCTCCATCACCACACATGTGCTCCCTACATCCTCTTATCAGAGCACCCGGTCCCCAGCATGTCCACCTGCTGACCATCACATTCAACCTGGAAGACCCAGCTCAAACAGAGCCTCCTGCATCTTCCTCTTCTGTACTCCGTCCACCCCCTTAACACCACACAGGTGACTCCAGTTTCCTACCCAGTTAACTCGAACAACACGGGTTTGGACTGTACAGGTTCACTTGTAAGAGGATTTTTTTTCAATAAATACTATAAATGTATTTCCTCTTCCTTATAATTTTCTTAATAATGTTTTCTTTTCACAAGTTTACTTTATTGAAGGAATACAATATATAATACATATCATATATAAAATATGTGTCAACTGACTACATTATCGGTAAGGTATCTGGTCAAAGTAGACTATTAATAGTTAAGTTTTGGAGGAGTCAAAAGTTATACGCAGATTTTTTTACTGCATGGAGGGCCCTGCATCATTCAAGGGTCAACTGTACTATGGCACCTTTATGTGGCTTGTCACCTCTCCTGACTATAGTCGAATTCTTTGAGAATAATAATAACTCACTTAATTTCATATTTTCCTACTCCCCTTCCCTCCCAATGCTCAGTAGTTTACTGAAACATGGAGACATCCTCAATAAATTTTATTGAACGAAAGCATATGCTTAACAACAAAAGACCCCACAATTTATTCAAATGTCAAGTATGTGAGCTGACTCATGGGAGGTTCGTTCACCTTTATGAACTTTCAATCACTACTCCAAAAAAAAGCTTTCGATGTGGTGGATGATGCCAAAATGGTTTTGAACTAGTGATGTGGTCACAACTCCAACCAAGTTGCTTTAGAAGAAAGAAAATGTTCTGCTTTATTAAGATGCATTTGTTTCTTCCCAATTCTAAAATTTCACTTACCTCCAACTATTGTTACATTGACAGTTTTGGTGACGTTAAAGTGTTTTCCGTTGTGATAAAGGGAAAACATGCAGGTGTAATATCCCTGATCTTGAAACTCTGCATTCTTCTGTAAAAATGACTTTTTATTGTTCTCTATCTCTTCACAGTTCTGTTTTGAAAAAAGCAAGTTAAAACATTTTAACTAAAACCAGTATCATATTAAGTAATTTAAATTTTTAAACTTAAAAGATCTTTAGAGAAAAAGAGAAAACAAATGAAAACTAGCAATTTCTGAGTAAATGCCCAGTGATTCGGCACTGCCTCTACTGGAACAATTGTTTACTGATTTAGTTTCCTTGCTCTTCTCCCCTCAGGTACGCCCTGATCTGTAAACAGGTTGAGAATACTTAACTCTGCAGTCAACTGTCTAGCTAAAAACATCCTCAGTACATCTATTTTCTAAATTTAACTATCTGCATGTTGGAATTTCTTAAAACCCAATACACTGAAACCTCAAATTTGTATGTGCCGTAAAACGTTTGCACATTTAACAGGAAGTGGAGTCAAGTGAACTCAGGGTTGACTCAGATGTTTTGAAAACATTTTGCATAAGAGCTCTCCTTGTAAAATCACAAGTAAACAGTGTTCAAGCAAAAGGGACAAACAAAAGTTTCTAGGAAATCATCAGAGCTTCAACTTGTCCAAGATCTGTTCAAGTCACCTTCTCTCATAGCTCTTCAGCATTGTCCATGAGCCACATTTTTTAGGTTTGTTCTTCTACAGAAATAATATAATTTCCATTGTGTGTGTGCATGTATATTATGTATGCATGTGTGTACATTATATATGCATACATATAAGTGTAAATATGCATGTGTATATATAATACACATGTGAGTCTATATATAAATCTGTAGATATAATCTCTACAGTATTGCCTAAAAAAGCTCTTATAGCTCAACAAGTAAAAGGTACACCAACTGAAGAAAAAAGACATACAATCCACAAAAAAAGTAACACTAAATGCAAACTATAGATATATATAATGGTTACTTTATTAGCAAGTAAGGACATGCAGCGGGGAAAACCCTACTAAGGGTTGCAGAAATTTTGCATGTCAGATTTTTGAACATCTGGAGTATTCTTTCCCAGTGTGGTGGCCGTGTGAGGAAAGAAGGTTTTAAAATGGCCTAGCTTCCCAGAGAGGAGTTTGATAACGTGGATCAAAAGTTGTGCTGATAGCTTCTGGTCCAATAATTCTACTCTCAGGGATTTGATTAGAGGATAAGTCCTCATATATACACCGCAGGACTTATGGGAATAATATTTATTCTGGCATTGTAAATAGCAGTGAAAAGTAGAAACTAACAAATGTCTAGTATCAGAAGGTTAGTCGGATACAAGTATATGTACACAGTGGAACCCACATTTGGAAGAATGTTTAAAGACGTAGGGGGATAATCCCAATATAATTTTTAGTGAGTAAAGTGGAAAAACACAAGCCATTAAAAAATACTTTTTAAAAGTAGATGTTTACACAGGAAAAAAAAAAAAACAAAGTCTCTGACTGGGGGGCTTATAAGTGATTTCTGCTATGTTTATTATTCATTTTCCCATATTTCAATTTTCTAAAAGAAAACTCCTATGTTCAGGAAAAGATATAGATGATAAATTTTATATTTTAAGCATATGTGGCAGAAGAAAATAATCCTTAAACTAGTATTCCTCAAAATTTATTTATTGAAAAAGAAGAAAAATGAAAGGCAAGGGAGAGGAAGCCATTATCATATATTGAACATGAATATTGGACAGGACCCGTGCTTCAAGCCTTATGTGTGGGAGCTCATTACAGCAAACCTGGAGGGCATGAGCTCAGAGAGGCCAATTGGGACTCTGGGGTAGGGGATGTCACACAGCTTGTATGCTACCAGAACAAAATGCTCCACAGCCACCAGACCCTCATCTTGGAATTTTGTCTTTTCTACCACATCTTAAGTTAAAAGTGTTACCTTATACAATGATGTTCCATTGGTCAGTTTTTCATAGTAACTATTGTTACAGGTTATCTGCAAAGTTTTTTTAACTTCCACAATTTTACTAAATAATTGTTCTTCAGCAAAACAACTGTGTTTAGTTTTTCTGATGACATTTAATGTCCAATTATAAGTATCATTTCTATAAAATAAACATTTAAAGATATTTTATAATTAGTACAGAAACTTTGCAAATATCATCTTTAAGTAATCAATCCAATGAATTTTTTTTTCCTTATTTTTGTATAAAGAAACTCATACATTGATGCCCGAACGTTTTTCTGCCTCTTTTTGGTTCAGCATAGCAAGAAATACAGCTACCATGGGATGGGGTAGAAGGCAGTGAAAGAGAAAAACCTGAGCAGTACCTCCCACCCCACCCCCATCCCATAATACCTGCTAAAGATCACATATTATAGATTTCAAGACAGAAATGTGTAGAACTTCAATGATATTCAGAGATTTTTAACCCAGGATAGGAGACTGGCAGTGGTTTCGTGAGGTCTATCAACAAACCGCGGAACTTGTTTTCTGAATGTCTGTATTTCTCGGGGCAGTTCATTCCGATCCTCTTCTCTGACTGTGGAGTGAACCCAAGTCTAACTTGATTGCCCTCATCATAATCTATCAGCACTTTGGGTGCCTTACGGAGCAAAAGTTAGTTTGAATAGATAGTATTGTTGTTCCTTCAGATCAGAAATCAGAAATTCAGAAGAGAAAAAACATATAATGGTGACTTTAAAAAGTAGCTTTTAAAAAAGAAAATGTTGCAACCGGGATGTTATATTCATATACCAAATACAACAGACATGTGTCATTCAGTTGTCCTGTGTGTCTGACAAATTTGTACCCACCACATGCCCTTCTAATTCTCCTTTAAGTCGACACTAGAAGAGAAGAAGACTAGCATTCACTGAGTTCCAGGTACCGTACCATGTGTGTGTGCAGTGGAGAAACATAACGTATTTTTCCTTACGTTAGATGAGAAAGCTAAACTTCAGGCTAAGTTAAATAACTCATTCAAGTCACATCCTGGTGAGAGATAGGGCCAGGATGCATAACCACATCTGTTTGGCCCTAATGGCCAGGAGTGCTCTGCAAATACTGTGTTATCACAATCGATGTGAATCTGGCCCTTCTCCTTGGGTATGAATCTATACAAGATTGGCTGGGGCGGGGCAAGGGAGAGCAAGTGATGACAAGCTGTCCTAAAGGTTAAAGGCAGTGCATCAGAGGCTATGAGACATCATAGAGCTTCCTGGTTTTCGGAAAGGATTCAGAATCCCCTTGGTAGCATCCTCTGCTCAAGCATTTCTGTTAATGTTTCCCTGACTTCAGTCTTGCTGTATTGGACAGAGATATATTTCTGGATCTCTCTGTCGAGTTGTTTACAAGGAAGAAGCTACATACGTATTCCCATCTCATCAGGCCCTACTGTTCTCTGCTTCTGCAACCCTCAGTTCCTAACACTCAGCAAATCCTGAAGTGCGGAATGCCTCCAGGCCCAAGGCAACACACTGTATGCTAGGAGGAGCTCAAAGGCTGGTGTGAAGCTGAGCCCCAAGGACCCAAAACTGTGACCATTGCTGCCCTCTTCAAGGCCAGCCCATCCAGGTTGCAAGAGCCACTCAAGCCATATGCAGAAGGGATTTAAGAAGCTTTAGCCCACTCTTCTGGGACCCCTTACTAAGCCGACTTCACTGCCTGTCAGTCTAGAACTAATTAGAGGATTTCTGTATGTGTTTTGCTCTGTATCTTCATTTTTTCACCTCCATCATCAAAAACTCTCTCCTGCATCCCCTCCTCTATTGGTGGATTTCTTCCTTAAAATTTGATTTGACAACGTGATTTTCAATGCAGGATTAAAGTATTAGTCTCCAGAGGTATTTGATTATTAGCAATAGACTCCTGACAAATTAAAAGATTACTACAGTTCTAAAGGGACTATTTCAGGAGTAGAGTCTGGTCACTGACAAATCCCACATGAAACCAAAGCCTCACTCACCTAAATTGGTGGATACATGTGTATATGTGCACATGCGCACACACGCACACGCACACACGGCTCTGTGGCAAACAGGATCCCGTTCACAAATTGCACTATATTTGAAGAGGTCTCTATCTCCAAGGCTCCCAGGTGTCCAAAACAACCTGTCCTCATGTAAGTTACCATTTATTTTCAAAACCATTGTCCAGGCTGCTCCTCCCACCATCAGTTCAGCCCTCATTACTCATCAGCTTCCAACGCTCTGCAGAGTTCCCTACCACAGCCACCGTGAGCCACCTTGTTCTCCCCGTCCTCTCCTAGCCTCTTCCTTGTCCCTCCCCATGCCTCTCTGACATCCTACCTCTGTCTGATGATTCCACTTTTCTCCTAACCCAGGCTGTGTTCTCCATCGTCTCTATTAGAGATGGTTATTACCTCTGTCTCTATCTATTTCAAGTGACATCGGTAGATGACTGAATCTTCCCCTCATTTCGCTCCTTCAGTCCCGTCTAGAATACTTTGTTTATTTAAATCATGCCTTTATTCAATCATGATTAAGGAGATGTTCTTTCTTCTCTGCCCCACATGTGAGAATTCATTCTACCTCACCGTGAAAAGACTCAGTTGTGACCCATTTCTGGAATTATTTCCTAAAAGGTCACATAAATTCATTGGTTACAAAAAAAAGAGTTCTTGAATTTTTTTCTGACTCCTGGGAACTTTTATGTATAAAAACAAACCAAAATGACCTCATTTTGTGCAAAACCACTGTGTTATCTCACTCTGCTCTCAACAGCACTGCTGATAATGATCAGGACTTGCTCCAGAGGGGCTCAGGAAAGCAATCTACTGCCTTTGGCACCATCACCACTCATCTGGCCCTGAACACTTTCTACAGGTCGGTCTCAAACCTCTATAAAAATGCATGCATACATACATACACACATATACACATATACATACGCACACACACACGCGCGCGTAAGTACATCCACATCACAAACGTGCCAGATAAACAGTGTCATCAGTGTTCTCACCAACAGTCCGTCACATAGAAAATATCTCTTCCCAGTTATTCCTTCTCCATCTCATCAAATGAAGTATAAAAAGAACTTAGTTCAGTAATAATCATTGCTTCATTCAGTTAGTTGTTCTCATTTCATAGAACTTATGATTCTGGTTCTGAGCACATCCTGGCAGGCTCGGGTTATGTCGTGAGAAGGCTGTGCAAAGTCCCTCTGTGCTTCCCTCTCTCACTGTCCCTGGTTATAGGTTTGTGATTGGTTGCCACACACACATATCCTTCACTAGCACGGCCACCTGGCTCTCAGCAAAACCCTGAAAACTGAACTAGGATGTGTCTACACCAATCACAACCCTACTCCCCAAGCTGATGATATCACCCAGACAACAGGAACAGCTGAACTTTAGAATGAATTTCATTCAGTCTTCACTTATCTTTAGCAAGGATCCTCTAAAGGAAATTTGGTACCTTCCCCAAACAGGGTACCAGAACTTAACCTACTTCATTTCATAAGGTCACTAGGAACATAAACATGGGGCAGTGTTTCATTTAATTTTTCAATAACGAAGTACTTATTTCATGTTGCAAGAAGAGCAGGAAAGAGAAAGTGCATGGGTTATCTGACTTTTCAGATTACTGTATATTTGATTTACTGAACAAAGTCCAGGAGGGCCATGAAATATACTAACACAAAGAGAAGGTATACTCACCCCATTTGGAAAAAGTAAAATCCACTGTCATCCAACTCAACTGGCCAAAACTCCAAAACATAATCATGCAAAGTAATTCTAGATGAACTGTTAGAGTTTAGCTCAACACGTCCCTGTGATCCACTGCTTTTGTACCATTTTATGGTGGTTGGTTCATTCTCATGTTCAGATGATGAGGAGCAATATTTCAGATAGAAAGGTTCCCCTTCAACTGCACTAATACGTTTACGTAGGGTGCAGGTTTCTTCAAAAGATTAGCAAAGTAAAAGAAAAAAATCAAAAACAGAACAACAAAGGTAATTTTCCAACAGTAAGACACTTTCGGAACATAAATGAAGATAAAATTTCCAACAGCTTTCCCCAAACAGGAAGGTACAAGAACTTAACCTGCCATATCAGAGTTTTTCATTTGCATCATCAGAAGTCTCAACCAGTCTGCTTAGTCATCCATTCCCCAGGCAGGTGTGGGAGTAGTTAAAGCTGCTCCTCTGTAGCTCAGAGTGCATGTAAATCCGTTGTCTCTCTAGTTTATCATGTGGACTATCAAGAATTGATTAATATATCACTCCAAATCTAGATATCTGGCACTGCCCCTCTTTGAACCCTCACGCTGTTCCTCTCTCTTTTTCTCCCTTTTGTCAACTAACCTAGAGACTCTGGATTTGAAAATTTATCTGATCCTTTCAGTTACACAAGGTTGTCCTCTTCTTTTGCCCTTCTGAGATTTCAAAGTTAGCATAAATGAATGGACCTTTCCCATATCCTGTCCTTGGGTGGCTCCTTTAACCTCATTTAGAGAATGAGAATCTTTAAATTAAGCAGAGCATTTCTCTTAGGTTGTGCAGAAAATGCCTTTTCCATAATTACAGTTTATTGTGCTGGCTTCAGCAGCACATATACTATAGTTGGGGTTTATTTTTCAAAGCAACAGCTTGGTTTTAATTCATTGTTGCCAATCACAGTGTAAAGAGGAAGTGATAGAAGCATTCTTTAAAAACATGGAAGTCAGAGCCGCCTCAAGAGCCTTGACCTTGTGTGTGGTGCTTGTCACAGAATCTCTATTTTACATTTCAATACTTCAACACAGAAGGTATGATACACATGTAAATGTGGGTGTTAGTTTTCATTGACACCCAAAAGGATGGCAAGCTATGAACAGTTTAATTTATTTCTCTGATTTAGAGATACATATATATGTATAAAAAGTGCACAAATCAGAATATGTGCTGTTTTTTCTGGATTCTTTTGTTTACCATTATGTCTAGAACAGGCATCCATGTGGCTGCACGTAGCAGTGCTTTGTTCTTTTTTTTCTTTTTTTTTAATAGTTATAGAGTATTCAGTTGTGTTGGCAGTTGAAATTTATTTATCCATTCTATTGGTATTGAACATTTGGGTTATCTCCAAGTTTTGGCCAATCTTTAAAAAGCTCCTATAAACACCTGTGCTTTTGATAGACATACATAGACACGCATTCCTATTTGAAGTAAGTTACCATCTGAAGAAACCTAACCTGGAACACATACTCTCCAGGGGTGGATGGTTGTCAATTGGAACTTCACACTCTTCTGGCAGCTGATGGCTTCAGATATCAACCCTTATGTTTAACATTACAGCCTTTGTTAATTAAAAATATTTTTTGATTGGAGAAATAAGTGGAGTTCAAGGCACCTGGAACCCCCAGAAGATGCACTTCCATTCTTACACAAATTGTTTTTTGAGTTTCAACAATAATGGGATGTCATCATCTAACTTTAATTGGGTTAAGTAAATACTACACATAGAATATTGTCACATCTGCCTAGAGTGAACCTTTCATGAAAGGTTCTCTTCAAATGCCTAAAGGACAGAGAGCTGGGACCTTGGCAACCTAACAAAACAGGTTTATGACTGTTTTTGAGCCTGAAACTTGTTTTCAATGCAACCTGGGAGCAAGGTTATCGGTGTTTGTCTACAGAGTCGGGGACCCATGATGCAATGTCCTGCACCTTGTTTTATCGCTTAGCAGTTTCTGACAAATTACTCCATATCAAGAACAGATGTACCTCTTTCTTTAACATCTGATAGTATTGCATTGTATGGATCTCAACCATGCATAGATCCACTTACGTAAATATATCCCCAATTGGACAGTATTTGAAAATATCAGTAACTTAACTCTGCTATCTCTTCAGCAGCCATTCTCAAAGTAGGGGATATGGGTTCATGTGTTTCCTTCTCTTAAAGAGATCAGGGCAAGTCGTATTTGGGCCCCCACTTTCTCTTCCAAAGCCTGAGGAAAATCTTGCTAATTCCTCACGACACATTTCTCCAAAGAATCTTGTTGAGGCCTCATAATTTTTCTCAGTAAAAGTTGTCAAGTGGTCACTGCCAATAAATTAAAATCAGTAATCGACACCTGATATAAAGCCTCCTTATCTTCCCTAGTCTAAGAAGTGTCTTTCATTTGTAGTCTCTATAACTTCAATATTTTCTTTAAGATCTGTAAGGTATTCCCATTCACTTTCTTCATTCCCTAAATAATAAGATGGATCTTTGCCTTCATTTTGGGAAGGCAATAATGTGCGACAAACTGTCTAAAAATCAATGAATGACGAAGACAGCTGTGATCTATTTGGCTTCAAACAACATAAAGCAGATGTTCTTCTCAGACAAATATAATTTATTTATGGACACAAGTTTTTTACATCCTGGTCTCTCCACATAAACTCAGAGGACCAAATCTTTCCCTTTTTAGTAATCTCATATAATTATTTACTTGCTTCCATTCCTTTGAATTTTTATTCTTTATGCCAGAGATGCCAAAGATTTGGCAACTTTTTAAAGTAAAATTTTAAATCACTAATTTTAATAAATTCAGCATCTTCAGTAGCCACCTCCACATAAAAAAGCAAAACCCTGATATTCCCTCTAGACTGCCAATGATGTATGTTTGTCAATAACTATTATGACTTACCTGAAGTGCTTATAAACATAAGTACCAAAAGTGTCAAGAGTAGTTGTCTACAATGCATGTTTTGGATTCTGCTTCAAGAAGTTTTCTGGAGAAACAGAAAAAGACAGGTTCAGGTAATATTCTCAAACAAAAGCCTACCTGTCATATAAAAGAGGTTTTAAAAAAATATTTCGGTATACAGGCTTTTAAAAAGAGGGTCCAGGAAATTTTCATATCCCCTAATCTAGTCATCAAATCTTCTCAGAACTTTCAGCCACATAAAGTAATAAAATTTCCAGGCAATGAGTTTTGGCATCTAAAAGAAATATCTAATAATGCAATTTTCTATACAAGAGAACCTGATGTATTTTAGGCCTGGTCTACTAAATGTTGTCTCCAAAGTCAAAGTTGAGGATAGTAAATCTTCTATAAAATCTACTATTCTATGCATAGACAATCTGTGATATACTGAGATATGTATGGCAGTTCTTCCTGTGAAGGAATCTGTGTGTGTGCGTGCATGTGTGCATGCGTGTGGAAGGGGGGGTGTATACCAGCTGCTTTTTTCCCTCACCACACCAAAATGCTCATTTCAATTTGTAATTAGATCTTTATTTGTGGGTTGAATTTTTAAGCATCCAACTTTCTTCTTTGGAACAAAAGTTAGGCACGAAGTCTACTTTGTTTACCACAGCATCACTGGGGTCCAGCACGATGCTTAGCACATAGTAAGTGCCCATTACTACCTGTTAATGGATAATAGATGTGTGGATGTGTGCGCATGTTTCTGCACTCACATTCCTATTAGTATTCATTTTAAGGAAATGGAGAGATACAGCGGGAATCGCATATACTCCAGACACCTACCCGACATTGATTCAGTGAACTCAAATCTGTGTTGAATTTTGATCTCACTCTAATCCAACTTTGTCCTAATTACAAATTTACAGGGCAGAGGGGAAAGGGTGCTTTGGGGCTCATATACCAAGTCTGAATATTTCATAAACAATCCCATGTTCCCTGTAGACCAGATACCTAGCTTTACCAGATGAAAGAAGCACAGCATTGTGGAAAGAGCTCAGTTTCCAGAGCATACATATCTGGATTGGCATTCCAGCTTGAGTCTTGACAAGCTATGCAACCTTGGGAAAGTTACTTAAAAGTCTCAGAGCCTGTTTGCTCATTGCCAAAATGGTAATGGTAAGAATGCCTGTCTCCCAAATTACTGAGTGATTAAATGAGCTAATGTTTATGAAGACTTCCTAGACTCATGGTGGCCTTTCAGTCCCAAATAATTCTCTCAACTACCAATCACTTCCCAGACTAAAAAAATAATAATAATAAGGACTGTTAATGCCCAAATTCTGGACAAAATTTAATGGCTAAGCTTCCAAACCATTTACATCAATCTTTATTAAAACCATCACCAAGCATTTGATGTAATTTCCAAGAGATAATAATCAACAAAGTAAAGACAAAAGGAATAAGTATGTATGGAAAGTACCAACTGTTCATAACCAAATTAGAATATCTCTATGGTTTGAAATCAACCCCCACAACACACACGCACCACACACACGCAGACACATATTTTATTAATAACTATTCTTTTATCTAGGGTAGAATGAAAAGTGTTATTTCCTCTGGTTAAGGCTGACACAACCTTATAAAAGAGCACTGCAGTTTTTTTGGTTTGGGTTTTTTGGTGTTTTTTTTTATTTTTTTTTTTTTTTTTTTTTTCTAGGCTTTGTAAGAAGTGGTTTTTATAG